CTGTTTACAACCTTTAACGGCTCCTTTCACATTTTGTTCTGCTTCAGCTTCTTTCAGCTTCCTTCTGCAAATTGTTTTTTTTCTACTACTTTCAGCTAATTTCAGCTGTTTCTTCAGCTGCTTTGTGCTTCAGATTCTTTCAGCTAAATACATTTTTGTGCTTCTTCTTCTTTTTGCTAATTTCAGCTTGTTATGCTCCTTTCAGTTTATTTCTGCTAGTTTCAGCTTTTTCTGCTATTTCAGCTACTATTTAGCTGTTTTGTGCTAATTTTAGCCTTTTCAGCTAATTCCATATTATTTGCACTCATTTAAACTTTTTTCAGCCCAATTCAGCAAAATTGTGCTCTATTCACTTCCTTCTGGTAATTTAAGTTTCTTTCTGTCTTTTAGCTACTTTTCAGCAGGTTTTTTGTGTGTGTGTGCTAACTTCAGCTTTTTTCTGATAATTTCCTCTTTTTTGTGCTCATTTCTGCTTCTTTCAGCCTAATTGAGTAAACATGTTCTTTCTGCTTTCTTCTGCTAATTTAAGCTTGTTCTACATTTTTAGCTATCTTTTTAGCATTTTTAGCTAATTTCAGCTGTTTTCAGATAAATTCAAGTTTTTTTGTGATAATTTCTGCTTCTTTCACCCTAATTAACTTCTTTTTGCTAATTTAAGCTTGCTGTGCTCATTTAATTTTTTTCTGTTAGTTTCCACATTTTCTGCTATTTCAGCTACTATTTAGCTGTTTTCATGCTAATTTTATCTATTTCAGATATTTCCACTTTTTTAGCTCATTTCAGCTTTCCACTTCTTTCTGGTTGTTTAAGCTTTATTCTGCCTTTTCAGCTACTTTTCAGCAGTTTTTTTTTGTCGTTGTTGCTAATTTCAGCGTTTTTAGCTAATTTTCAAATTTTCATACTAATTTCTGGTTCTTTAAACCTAATTCAGCAAATATGTTTTCTTTCTACTTTCTTCTGCTAATTTAGGTGTGTTCTTCCATTTCAGCAAGTTTTTAGCTAATTTCAGCTGTTTTTCTGCAAATTCTTCAATAAGCATCCAAACTGCCTTTTTGCAGAAAAAGCAGTTTCTCTAGCTTATCCTCTTTTAGCTCGTCTTCTGGATTTGAAATCATCTTTGTGCTTCTCGGGACGTTCCAAACGGGAACATCAGTTGGTAGAAGCGCCACTGAAGGATTTTATTTTGTCTGAAAAACAAAACCAAGTTTGAGACGCCACCACAGTCCCGTGGGCCGACTGTCGCCTCCCACTGAGTCACGCTGGGTGAAATGAAAACGTGTGTTTGTGCTGTTCAGATTAAAGGTGTGGGCGACTTCCTGTCAGGACCTTTTCATCGTGACGCCACCTCGACTTTAGAAAACGCCGGTGAACGTTCGGCAGTAATGAGACAAAAACATTTATTAGAATAATCTGACAGGACGCAGAATAAGTGAATTAAGAACCGGCACTCCTTTGGAAAAATCTGTCTGGATCCAAACAGGAAATAAAACTCAGAATGACTCTTTTTTTGTTTCTCTTTACACCAGATCCTTTTTAATTTTTCTTTCCTGGTGGTTTAGGAAACATTTAGTGTCGTTTTATGGACTTGGTGTGTCAGAGAGCTGTTTAAGGAATAAAAAGTAAAAAAATGAAATAATCTCTTGCTCAGTGGAAATAAACTCATCCCTGCAGATCCTTTTCCAGTTCTGACTTGAAACCTCGACCAGGTGCTGCTGATGCTTTTATTAAAAGTTCTGTCAG